CGGAAATCCACCACCAGCTCCTTGGTTTTCCCTGTGTTGGAGGCGGTTCCACTGACACCAGTCCACATCTCATACTTACCCATCTACCTGCTTTTAACATGTGCAGGCTTAATTGATTGACTGTTCCAGTACACCTGACTTTAATAAAGCACTAATTAGCAGCCCCAAAAGGATCTGCCAATTAAAAGGTTCCTAAACACAAACATACAGGACATTTAACAGTCTTCTCGGGAGGCAGATGTCTGCTCAGTACAGCGACAAGGCAAGCTGTTAGTTTGAGTTTGTCTCCCTACACAAATTGCAAATAAAGAAAATACCTCTGAGCACCATAGCTCGCTCTACCAAGTCATATTAGTTGGTATTATAAAGCTGGAGGAGAAGAGTGTAAAGAGAGGACCAGACAGGTGAAGGATGTTGAAGGAAGAAGTATGAAATGACACCAGCTTGGAAGAAAGAGGAGCAAAGTGAGTGCAAGAGAAGGTGGAGAGCGGGAGTGAGGTGTTTTTTAATGCAAAGGAAAGTGTGTGTGTGTGCGTGTGCGTGTCCGTGTGCAAGTGGGTCAGTTGTCAAGCACAGCAACCGCTTGGGACTTGTATCTCTTTACTAGTTTTTGTGTCTGCTCTGTACGATACGGCACGCACACAAATCCACTCAAACTACCTTCCTCTAGGAGGCTGCCACATGCATAGGCCATTGTTTAGTCACTGTAGTCCCAGTACAGATGCCCTCATTTCCTCTCTATTGTGTTGAGGCATACGTTTCAAAAACAGCACGAGTGGTAAAAACATAGGAGCAAGTTTCTAGGACTGCACAAGCATGAGAAATGGGAGGATGAACTTTGAGGATAAATCAGTTTTCTGTGTATGTAGGGTTGTGTGGTGTGTTCCCCAGCCAGCCATATTATACACAGATCTTGATAAGTTCAAAGTGTCTATATTTATTTGCCACGGCAGTGTGATTTCACAGAACTCATCTAGCCTGTGTGTGCTCACAGTGTGTGTTGACATGTGTGGACAAATGTATCGTGTGTGTGTGTGTGTGGAGTGCATGCCGGCCTTGGAGACAATTATAGCAGAGATCATTTGTTTTCAGGGATGAGGTACAACAATAAAAGGTTAAGCGCAAATATTCAACTACACAGAGAGAGGATGAGAGAGGGACAGAGGGTTGGAGGACAACTAAGCAGGCAGATAGTACCTCATTAACTAGTCTAATTGATTGATGATTGTACACACTGCAGCAAAAATAGATCGCAATTCCACTTCCAATATTTTACTGCCTCTGGTTGTGCTTGTGTTTAATTGCATGGAGAGGAAAGAGTGATGAGGAAACAGAGGAGGTTTAGGATAGAAGGTTGGTTATAGCTGCGCCCCAGAACAAGGTCTCTGCAATGTTTAACTTGTTTGTTTTGAAGACTGTTTAGCTTTTATAAACTGGAAATGCCAGTATCTGTCTCGGGGATTCCACAATGATGTTTTTATTGCTCCTTGTGGCGGTGACCATATATTTTGATACTGTGTATGACATTACAGTCTTGTAAGCTAACCAGAAACACTTCTCTAATGCCAACATATCCAACAGTCCCCATCCTGGGTTCCTCAGGGAGTGGATAATGCAGGGCTTCTGAAACACTCTTAATGGATGTTGCTCTGTGTGGTTTACCTGTTTGTAGATCATCTGTCAGCTTGCGTTACTCTAGTCTTATTTTTAGCCACGCTAGCGACATTGCTCCATGGATGGCAATGTCAACCCATCACTTTGGTCCAGAATGAAATATTTTAGCATCCAATGAATGGATTGCCATGAAATTACATACAGATTTCCATTGTCTCCACCTGCTGGATGGATTGGTAATCATTTATGTGAATGAATCCTTTTCACTTTGGTGATATCCAAGAAATAGAGTTGGACTTGGAATACATAGCTAGCACAAAAGATAGATACGGAAATATATGAAACACATTACTATGTCAAGTAACATTAATTAAAAATTAAAAATAATAATTTAAATGGAATGCAAATGGAGCTGCCTCCACACTTTTAAAAATAGAATATAAATAAATGCCATACTCAGATTTGTGACAGCATGACATTTCTCTGATTGCTGGTGATGCATGAAAAGTGCAATAGCAGCCATCCTTAAACCTGTTCGCTGTCAGGTGGCAACCATACAGTACCAAGCTCAGTCACTTGGATCTCTTGTTTCACTAAACAGTAGCTGCTTACTTTATATAGAAAACCATAGCCATGTGAGTCACTGTCAGCAGGAGAAATCCATTTTCACAAATCGGTGGGTGGTGTGTCTAATAAGCTGGCTGCTGAGCTTATTCCTTTATAGTTGATCTACTTGAGCTGAGAGCAAATGGAACGGCAATGAGAGGAGATGGCGTCCACCTCATTAGCAGAAGTTATGACAAGCACCAGACTTGTTAACAGCACAACTCAAGAGAAAACAGTGTGTAAATAACATCAGTTTACCTGCTTGCCTGGCATCTTGTTAAATTGGTGTAAATCATTTATCTTGCCAGACATTTAAGCAGTATCTAAAGTCAATACACCGCTTAAGATTGAATAAATAAATCAAGGCCTCCTCACATATCTTGTCCCCTTATTCAAAACTGTATGGAATCCCCTTTTTTAGCACATTGCTGTAATTGCAGGTCCGCATTTTATAAAAGCTCCAGTTATTTTCTTTTAATAATAAGGACTAATATTAAGTATGTGGTTGAATTTTAAAGTTTCCTCTAGCATCTGATGTAGTAGTTTGTGAGATTAATATTTCATATATGACCACAAACCAATTCTCTTTCATTGCCCCTGTGTATCAATCTCCACATTAACCCACAAACTTTTCTTTTCTTTCTCTGTCCCTCCTTCACTATTAGGCGACCCTCCCGTAGGTTTCCGTGACATACTGCTGCGTGACGGTCCTGAGGGATTTGCTAAAGCTGTGCGTGCCCACCAAGGTCTGTTGCTAATGGATACCACCTTCAGGGATGCCCACCAGTCACTTCTGGCGACCAGGGTTCGGACCCACGACTTGAAGAAGATCTCGCCATTCGTCAGCCACAACTTCAGCAACCTTTTCAGCCTGGAGAACTGGGGAGGTGAGTTTCTGGGTGTTGAATGTATGTCTTGACAACCATGAAAGAACCTGGGCTAGCAGTTTCCCCCTACTTCCAGTCTTTATGATAGGCTAAGCCAACTATCTTCTTCCTGCAGCTTTAGGTTTTAGCATTCTGACATGAGTGGTACTTACATATACACAATAAACTAAAGCAACACCACTATTTGGCACTCATTAGTAATGAGTTAATACCTATAACATGTGATCTCATCAAGCCATGAATTTCACTCTTCCGATGGCTATCATGTTTATTAAACTTTTTGTCTTAACAGCCATGCCTGTACTTCCCATTCTTTCCGTTCATTTCAAGTCTTGTAGATCCTTCCCATGCTTCATTGATGACAGTAATTGTTCCTCTTTGTTTTTCATTTTTGATCTGTGAAAATCATGTGCCATTGAAAATGTATCTCATGGCTCCATCTCCTCTCCCACAAGTCAGTTTTCAGCAAGTTCCCTCAATAGACAATGATTGTACCTTTTCTCCTGCTCTCGAATAAATAAAGAAAACCATGCATTATTGAAACTTCTTGGGGCATGAACAGTCAAATAGTATCCCTGTATAATATGCAATTACTCTGAAATTGGCCACAGAACGAAAATACGTGCCTCATGTTTGAACAGTTGACGATAAGACCAATTATCAACACTTCTCGATAATGGTCCAATGTGAAGTGCAATTTTTATGAACTGGTTTCAATGAGTAAATTCATTTTTCCTGTTTGAACACTCGAACACTTAGGAGACACGCAAATTTGTGGAAAAGATATGCCTAGTGAACCTCTTGAGGTTGAAACATTTAATTTAATGCTCAATTACAGTAAACCGCTTGGAGTGATTGTGCTTATATTACTTGGAGAGCTTTGAGTAGATCACAAGAACAAACATAATAACTAAATAACAAAAGCCTTAAGTAAAAAGAGGTTCTGTTTCAGTGACTGCGCTCATCGTTAGATGGTTGAACAAAGTGAGAAAAAAATAAAAACGCTGGAAAGAGACTCACCAGTGAAACCTCTTCGGTGCTGTAAACCCTTTCTGAGATTAAATTCCTCCTAGTAGCCGATCATGGTGCACCAGTTAGGGGAAAGCAATATATTTCATTACTGTGGGAGAGCACTTTGAGCAGATCTCACATTAAACAACTGTCTACTCATTTCATGTTTGAACAGATAAAAAGGTTATAGCAAAAGTAAATCATTGAGATATTTCGATAGAAAGGGCTTAAATGCTTCCCAACTTCCATCTCCCAGCATATCGTGATGTTATTATGAGACTGACCAGAGAAAGATGATGTGAATTCAGCTGAGCCATGTTTGAGCAGTTACATTCAAAGTAAATCTTTGAAGAGAGACTGTAAAAACAGGCGGTGAACTCAATCCGTCACTCTGGAGGAAACTGTTGAATAGGTGCCAGGGAAGCCCCTTTATGTCTCATTATACTGAACTAGTTCTGAAAGGGGAAAGTGCTTTGATTAAGGGACATATATGCCTTTTTTAGGGTTTCATTGTCTTATATTTAAAGAGTAAAAGAAATAGTACATTTTTCAGCCCGCACCCATATTACATGTTGTTTGCCATCATTTATATTCACTTAGTCAACAGTGCGATCATTGAGGTTTTCAAAAACTGTGATAAATCTCCTTTTAAGAACTGTTGTTTTTTGTTCTTTCATACGCTTTCATAGCCCACACCCTCATTAAAATGCGGTTTGCCATCATTTATAATCATGTACAACCCAACCTCTGGGTTTATACACAGTCCAATGGGGCGATCATTGAGGCTTTCAAAAGTGAATAAATCTCCTTTTAGGGGACAGGAAGCACAAAGCACAGTCATACATGTCTATATGTTTTACTGATAAAAGAGCACAAACCGAGCTTTTCTATTTCTCTTGGCTTCATGTCTGTGTGAGAAACAGGAAACTGTGTAAAATAGTCAATAAAACCTGATAGAAAGCATGCTTTGAGACCATTTTATGATTGATCATTAAATATGTCAATTTACTAGTAGCTTCCTGTTTTTCTAAACTGAGACTTCTTTTTTTGAAAGCCTAAACCATTGCCCGATTGAACTGTTTATAAGCCAGAGAGAAGCAGCGGCAGTGGGGTAAGATCTTCAAAACCAAATCAATTGGTGGGAATGTACTATGACTCATTATAAGCATACATTTAATAGGTTTTTGTATTAAAAACCGTGAACATGTCCTTTTAAATAATTTATAATAAGATCAAATAATGTCATCAGTTCTTTTTAAGACTTAAACTGACTATTTTATAGCTCATCGTATAATTAATCCTAACTAAGCTAACAATGTGGTAAACACTCTTAATTTGGGCATTTGCTGCAGCAAAAGCTCTTAGTAAACACTGTAGAATAATCTTGTCTTTGAGCTGAATCCAGTTATAAAACGGCACGAGAAAAGTGAATACATCTTACTTTGTGTCTTCCTTCTAAATTCTCTCATAAAGTGCTAATGTTTGAATTACAGTGGAAGTCGAGTTTTGAAATCTTCTGTCAATGAAAGCTCTTGAAGTTTAAACAGTCTTCTGTCTTCATAAAAAAGTAAGACAGTGAATATATGCTTGTCTCTCTCCCATTTATGCAACGACAGCAAGAGTACATCATTGAAATCAAATGTAAAACAGGAGCTGGAGAAGTTTAAACACCTCCTGACATAATGATTCTGTAATGGGCTGATATTATGAGTTGAGGAGCAGAAGATTGTCTTTCTTAGTTAAGAAAAGTTGAAAAGAGCGTGTGGATCATCGAAGAAAAATGCAATATGCTAGTGGATCCTCTTGAGGCGTCAGTAGTTCCTGCCTGATATGATTATGAGTCAGTGAAAACACAATAATGCTTTCTCATAATTATTTAAACACTTAAAGGCAGAATAAATTCTAGAGAGAGATATTCCCCTGAAAGCTTCCTACGACTTTACTAGTTTACAGTATAATAATATTCTTCCTGTGCATGCATATTAATATTTTGATGTTAATTTCATTAGTTAAGTAGGAAAAACAGAGCATTTAGAAAACAGTGATGAATCTGCCACCCAGGCCTTTGACACATTGCCTAGTCTTGAAGTTCAAGTTGGTTGCTTTTCTTACACAAAAAAAGTCTTATCAGTTATTTTTATAGTAGTTAGACTTAGTTTTGAGGCTCACATGGGATTGCATTTGCTAAATCTCTGTATCTAAGCATGACCTTTGTCTCATTATACTGAACTAGTTCTGAAGGGGGAAAGTGCTTTGATTAAGGGACATATATGCCTTTTTTTTAGGGTTTCATTGTCTTATATTTAAAGAGTTAAAGAAATAGTTTTTTCAGCCCGCACCCATATTACATGTGGTTTGTCATCATTTATATTCACTTTTTTTCCCTTTCATATTCTTCTTTTTTCTTGTTTTATTAACCGTTTTATCCATCTCTTCTACCTCCCTCTTTTCCTTTTATACTTTCTGTAAATGACTTTGTAACATCTATTTTGAAGAATGCAATAAACATTTCCTGGCATGCTAAAGAGTAAATCAAAACTGCAGAAGCCAGGATATCCACACTTTAATTTCCTAGAATGGGTCAAGCTCCACAGACACAGGATCCTATGCTTGCAATAATGCACCTCAATAGACTTCTGAGACCATTCATGCCTACTAACTGCCCACATCTTTTAAATTCTGTGTCTCTACTTCATAACAGACTGTTGAAGTCAAGCCCAATTGGATCAGGGTTTAGGCTTTATAAGGTTCCTCCAGAGCCACACCAGACATAGAGAAGTTTTTACTGGTAGTAGTTCTTCTCTTGAGGAGTAAACTTCATGTGTTAAATCATTGGAGTGCCTCTTTTAATAAGATACTCTTTTACAGTATATCTCATTATAATGTGTGAATATCAGACAGTTTGTTTCCCATCCCCACTGTTAAACATCCTTCATTCACTCGGCTTTCAATACCCAAAGTTCCCAGATCCACTAGTTAGAAGCCATGCTCTCGCATATTATTGATTTAGGTTGTGAAACACAAATTAGGCTACCATGCTGCAGTAAAAAGTTCAGCTCCAGCACACACAGTCCCACAGTGACTGCTTGTAACTATACCTTTAAACAGTTCCTCACAATAAATCACTAAATGACCAGGGGAGGAATAACTACCGTGCCTCTGTTGATAGGAGTTCCCTATATAGTGAACTTTTGTTGCAAAGTGATCAGAGATAGAGAATATTACACTCGGCTGTGTTTGAATCACTTAGAACCAAAATAAATCACTAAAGGGAGATGACCACGTGAGTATTGAACGCTGTCACCCTGACACATTGTCCCTATGCAAGAATCTTTTTTTACACAGAAGGATCTCAGATAGGGAATATTGCTTTCACATGTTTCAGCTGCTTAGAGGCAGAATGAATCATTGAAGAGATTAAGCCTGTGAAAGCCCTTTGAGGATTAAGTCCCTTCCTGATATAGCGTTTCTCCCTACACCATGGAAGATACAGTAATATGAACTGGGTCACCTAATGTATCTATATGGTTCCCCGTATCTGTTTCACAATTGGCAAATTTATCAGATGGTGAAGCGGCAGATTCTTAATTACTGTACGTGCTCATTTTAGTGTGTGCATCTCGTTCTGCCCTGCAGTCGTATAATCAGTCTTTCAGAGCATGTTTTAGGGAATGCGAGCCGTTTCTTGCTACAGGCAGTGGACACACAAGCATGAAAGTCTGACCAGCAAAAAGGCACATCCACCAGCTCAGAGCAATAAAGTGGAATCACAGATGACATTAAAATTGATTTGGCAGAATAAACTGTCTGATGCATCAGGGCTATAATTGCACACTTGCAAAATTCTGATAACAACTGAGATGTGTGTCTGTGTGCGTGTTTATGCAGCTCAACGATTCAAATTATAGATGTGAATCTTTTTTATTCATCATGGGTTTTCCTTTACTGGCTCAAGAACAGTAAGTTTATTTCATAGAACTTTATTTTCCCACCAGGGGACATTTGGATGGAGTTTGCCAATATGAGACCGTGTTTTCTTCGTTTTGATATCGAATTGACTCATACCTACAGAAGATGTTAGAGGCCCACATATTCCCACCTAAAGCAGGAGACAGTTTGTCCCAAAATGTATTTCTCTGTACTTCCTTTAAATATTAGTTGTTGAATACATTGCTGGCAATCGTGAACGCTGCGTAACAGGCTCGTTTCCATCTTCCTCTGATTTATTTCAGCTCATCTTTATGACAGATTAAAGGCTGCCTGTCTTTCCAAAAAGAGGCAGGCTCAGCACTGTTTGTGCCTAATGTTCTGATATGTAGGGCCAGCTGTCAGTCTTCATTCCTGTTATCAAATTAGTAAATTCTGCAGTCCCAGATGAATTCCTTGCTCAGCATCATGCTTTTATATCTCACGTGCTATAAAACATTAATACTAATATGTTTAACATCAGATAGGATTGCTTGGAGTAATGTCCGCTCCAAACCAATAGTTTAAGAGATGCTGACGTAGGCTGAAATCCAAATCGAGGGGGAATAAAAAGATAAAGAGGAGGGTTTTTCCGGGTTTTTTTCTGCTCTTCCCAGAGTAGGGACCAAGCAGTGGTGCTTTGTATTTTCTCCGTGTCCAAATGTACGAGTGCTCAGAAAATGAAATTTAATGATGGCAGTGTTGGATCAGCAGAAAACCACTGGAGGCTTCAATATTTCTGGCTGATATGATAAACGGGTATGAGATCCGCTAATCTACTCCCCACAGAAAGGGAAATGAGAGATTGCTATCTTTTTTTCGCCTCATCCACTGAAACATTTCATAGATTTTAAAGTGACTTTAGAATAAAATGATGGAAGTGTTAGAATGAACAATGAATGTGCAAGCATCAGATTTTATTTGAGCGTCCATTAGTGTGTAGTGTGTGTGCCATCTGTGTGTGTGGGGGTAATGGGATAAGTTTGAAATATTAGTTTTTGAGTGTAAAATTGAGATCAAAGTTGGGATGACAAATGAGACTTGAGATGACAGCTGAAATAAACTGTGCATATTTGTGTGTGTGTAGGTGCTACCTTTGATGTGGCCATGCGCTTCCTGTCAGAATGTCCATGGAAGAGGCTCCAGGAACTGAGAGCTTTGATCCCAAACGTCCCTTTCCAGATGCTGCTGAGAGGGGCCAACGCCGTGGGCTACACCAACTACCCTGACAATGCTGTCTTTAAGTGAGTTACACACACCCCTGCACTTTATCCTTCCATTTTTTAATAATGAATTTCAGTTATTAAATAAAATCAAATGTCTAAGAGCTAACCAGCGTATCACCCAGAGACTTATTATGAATATGCACACATTCTTTTGTATTTGTACTTCCAAATCCATACACTGTTGTTAATAACTCTACAGAAACACACTGACACACACACGTCCGGGTTGTAAACATAGGTGAGATCATACACTATACACACGCTAGCTTACCGTGCATTGTCTAATGTATGCACTGAATACGACAGACTTTAAATATAAACACTGGAGCATCTCACAGTCCGTGTTGAATAGGTTTTTTATTGAATTGTTGAAAATACATCCGTTTGAAAAAAGATTTTCTTGAAGCCAGCTGCTGCTCCTCGTGGCTTTATTGTCTGTCAATGTCATACTATTTAGAAAATGTACCAAAATGGGAACGTTTCCATGGAAACAACACATGCAACCTTCATCTTAATACATAATTTTTTGTCTATGTTGTAAGCAGAGTCAGGCCTTTTACATTATGAAATCGAAAGTGAAATTAAAAATGATTGCGCTCCATGATTACTAGGGCTGTCCCTGACTAAAGATTTTAAGTGTTTGTTTGCCATGACTGACTTACTCAAGCTACAACATTCAAACAAAATCAGTTTTTATTCAGTTTACTCTCACAGTGCTTACTGTAGAGTCATGCACAGGGATTTACAGTTGACATAATAGAATGTGTCGTCACCTTCTGTGTGATAAATTTAACACTCCAGAATATATAGGTTCATTTGATTTCAAAGCTTGTGGCATCGCACAAAGCAGCTGTATGTTTATTATTTATTTGTATTTATTTTTTTATATAGAAAAAACACGTTCTTTCGCAGCTATGGGGTTTATTATTGTTCAGATAACAGTGACGCACGTAAATAAATAACCATAACATATAACAGACAAGACTGATCTGCACATAAATTAAAAGATTTTAAAGGAATATTAAACGGTGATTAAAATCAGCAACAGTAACAATACTGCTAATAATTGGCTATGTTAACAGTTTGTATATTATCTAAATTAAATCTGTTGTGAAGAAGTGGTTCTGTGGACATTTGTACCAGTCGGTTGAACAGGTCAAAACTAACTGATGTCGACTGATGCTATGGAACCAGGGATTTTTCATTTGCTGTTTGGGCTCCTCCGTCCTTGTTGCTTTCAGCTCAATTATAATATTTATTTGTGTATTTTCAACATGATTAATAAATAAACAAGAATACTGAATAGTTTGCCTACATTCTACTGTATTTATAGTATATGTCACCTAAAGCCTTCAGACAGCTGCTTTCTCTCTAAATATAACTAAATGGATTTACAGTAGCTGCCCACAAACCACACAACTGACACACACATTTATTCAGGTCAATTTGGTTGATGTTTTCCTGTTGCCTCCTACCATGCTCAGTGACTTACACGCATTTCACACACACACACACACATTATCACACACACACACACACAACACACACCACACACACACCCACACACACACACACACACACACACACACATCATTGATACAGATGTACCCAGTAATGCATTTAGGGCCATAAATACTCCTGTGCCTACACACATGCATACACATGCCTCGAACACTTTTCCAAATGGATTCACAAGCTGCTTCGATGATGTTGATGACTCGCGTATACACAAACACACAACACACACACACAGACACAGACACACAGACACACAGACACACACACACACACACACATACACACAGACACAAACACACATACACCTACATGCAGAGTGTAATTCCTCTCACCTCAAATAAATTAGTGGTGGCTTTATGACTAATGCACCTGTCCCCTCCTCCCTCTTTCCCATTGAATCACACACACGCAGACCTTCCTTATCCTCCATGTTTTTTTGCTCTCCCTCTCCTCCCCTCTCTCATATCATATAGTCATTATTTATCCCCCACTCTTATGACTCCCTTTATTATGCCTCCATTCATCTCTCTGCATTACACACTTCTTTCCCTCTCTTTAACTCTCTCCTTCTACCCTCCCGACTGCTCCTCATCTCCCTCTCCACCCCTCTCACTCTCAATGTCCCATAGGGGTAGTGCCAGTGAAAATTTGCACATGATTGTGATAAATGGCTTTGATCTGTTTGCCCAGCTCTCTCTCTCTCCCTTTACTCCGTCACTCTCTCACTCTCGATGCATTCATTGAGCCAGCTCGCAGCCAAGTGGCCTAAACGTCTTCATTAACTAAATCAAATCAAAGCGTAATTTCATTTCATTTATTTGATTTAAAGTGCATGTCACTGGGTCACAGTACAGTACACTCTGCAGCAAAAAGGATGTGCCACTTTAAAGTACACCTGATGGATTTTAAAGGGTCAAGTCACTGCTTTCTTTGACAGAAAAACTCAACTTTCTGATTCACATGAACAATGATTACATCAGCTCTGAGTCAGATATGTGGGATACAGCGTTTTTGATTTGGTGCCAAACAACGTCCACTACACAGCCCTTGTATGCATTGTAGTGCTAAATAAATACTGGACACGCAGACGCTGGACTCGTAATCCTCTCATGGCACAACATTAAGTGTGCGTCTGTTTATTTGTCAAAACAAAAGCTCTCAGTGTTGTAAATATTGCATTCACAGTAACAGAGCTACAGTAAGCACTGAGCCCAGTTATGAAAAACCTGATTAAGATACCGGGGCCAAGGCAATAATAGGAAGGATTTACCACTGGCAGCTTGGATAATGAGGCGGGTATACATTTCTCTCAGTTATTGTGGGCTCCTGCAGGCTGTGTAAGCTCACTTTTCATAGAAATAGTGAGAAGATTGTATTTACGCAGGTACAGCGATTATTTATGAGTGGTGATGTGAAGGTGGATATAAACGGCTTATCCCAACCCGGATGTGTGCTATTACCTGGGATACACTGTGCATGAATACAAACTCATTATGTGTGAGAGTGATCACATTGCAGTGTACATTAAGTCTTCACAGTCTAACCTTTTTCTGTCTCTGATTCTCATTTGAACGTCTTTTATTTTATGTAGGTACACTATAGGCTAACATTCTCCCCTCCCTCCACCCCTCCCACAAGGTTCTGCGAGGTGGCCAAGGAGAATGGCATGGATATCTTCCGTGTTTTCGATTCCCTGAACTACGTGCCAAACATGCTGCTGGGCATGGAGGCTGCTGGAGCAGCAGGTGGCGTGGTGGAGGCTGCCATCTCGTACACAGGCGACGTCTCTGACCCAATGAGGCAGAAGTACTCCCTGGACTACTATCTGAAACTAGCAGACGAGCTTGTCAAAGCCGGGACCCACATCCTATGCATCAAGGTAAGAAAGTAAAAATAGGATCTAGTGTTTGCTTTAAGAGTTGTACTGCTACTCAGGGTTCTACAATACGCCAGCGTTTTCCTTGCCTATGATAATCTAAAGATTCTGGCACTTATTGTTTGCTTCTGTGTGGAAATCCCTGCCCATCTGCCACCAGAATGACATTAAGCCAGCTAGAAAGAATCTTTGCATGTACTTTTTTCGGCTCAGACTTGTATACACACTCAGTTACACATGTATTGAGACATTTGCATGTATGTCATCATAATCAAGGCCTGCACTAACCACCAGCTAAACTTTTGGCTGCCTGACATAGCTGTGTGCACTCTAAGTAGCATTTGGAGGCAAACCTTCTTGTATTTAGTTGATTTAATCCAAGCATTGGCAGGTAAGACGCAATTATCTTTATTTAATCATGTAAACAAGCTGCAGTGCGTGAGTTTCTGCTTGTACTGCAACAAATACCATTATTTGTTCTATTTCTGTCACTATTGACACATTTAATGTCAAAATGTTGGCTGACATTCAACTAAATACAAAAATAGATCAATAAAATTTCACCAATGTATCATGGTGAAGTAAAAGCCTTTTACACACAAACACATGCATTTCAATTAGCATTTTAATTAATACAAACACTCTCACATTCATTCATTCACACTCGTTAACTGTTGAGTTTTTCAACTCGTTCCCATTGAAATTACTTGTATACTTAAGCCTGTTATCTTAATGAATAGACTGATAATGCTCACATTGAATTAATTCCTTTATTCAAGCATGAAAGAATATTTTCAAATGCAAAATGATAAACTGTCTCCACCGCAGTGTGAACCATCACACGCAGCAGTGGAAAACTCATAAAAGGCTTGTACGGCTAATGAGGTTAACTTTTAAAAGAGGAAATGAGCATGCATTATAACTTCATGGAGTGCAATGATCACCAAAGGGAGCGCAAGTAAACATCTAAGCTCTGTCTATGAATTTCTGTTATTATCTGTTAAGATTTATACATTATAATCATCCTCACAGGAGTATGTCTGTGTAAAATCCACAACTTGTGTCATCATTTGAATGGCTTCAATGAAAGTGGCAGTTTTAACTTCAGCTTAATGCTCTTCATCAAAAGACACATTGATTATTTGGAGAATTTCAATTGTCATCCAATCCAAGTCCTAATCAGCTAAAGGATTTTGGTGTTCTTTCTGCTTCCATTGATTTGGCTGTTTTTTACTCATCTGATTCCACCAAATTATCAGAACTTTGCTCCAGCTTTCATGAGCAGCCTCGGGCCAGTGCTGTGTGCACACTCCCTCACTAATGAGAACTAAAACAGGTGGTTGAAATCAATGTTGTTTAACTTAGTCCATATCCAAAATTTAAATGTGTTACAGGAAGCCACTTAAAACCAGATTAAGGTGTTTTAATAAAGTTAAATAATGTAAAATAGAAAATACACGGTAACATGGATTTAATATTTTGGGATATTAAGCTTCATGGAATCACAAGCAAATATTTATTTTATGAATGGTGCCAGATGCCATTCCCACCAAACCTTTAATCTGTCCTCCCTTGTGTCTCCTCTTCCATCTATCTGTATTATCAGGATATGGCTGGTCTGCTAAAGCCGGAGGCCAGCAAGCTTCTGGTGGGCGCTCTGAGAGACCGTTTCCCGAATGTACCGATCCATGTGCACACACACGACACGGCTGGAGCTGGTGTAGCCGCCATGCTTGCCTGTGCTGAGGCTGGAGCAGACGTGGTGGACGTGGCTGTGAGTATTCATCATATTTGTTCCACAGAGCCCTAACAAACAAGGTTGCTTTAGATGGAATCCAGTGCTTTTTCTATTTTAGACATTATCAGCTATAAAGCCTCTGAAAGGTTTTAAATTGTTGTTCATTTCATAATCATCCTCCTATTACTTATAACAGTTATGGAAAGTGAGAACTTTCCATAACTAGGCCTAGGTCCACCCACATGTTATCCCAACAATATTAACAGACATATAGTACAGTGTTTTCTACTAATTGCTGCAGTTTGCATTGTGAAATGTCACTGAAACAAAGCTGGAACAATTGTTGAAGCCAGGAGCCTTTCCCTTACTGTGTTCACTGACGCATGCTGCCAGCATGGGCAGTTTCATTAAAACACTTGGCTGATATTTGCAATTTCTGCCGGTTCAGTTCCTTGTAACACTGTATGAATGAAACAACTGACTGTCCACCATGGATCAAAAACACCCACAAAAAACATTTGGCTGTATAGGTTTCATTCGTTTACTTGGTTAAACTTGGTATTTTCACTGCCAAGTAATACATCAAATATGTACAGTAACACACAAGCTGAAAAACATTTGATAGGGGCATGGAAGATAGCCAAGACCTAAAGGGTTTTGGAGGAAGATCCAGGCCCTTTTGATCGGGAAACTGCTGCTTTTGTGCTTTCTTACCAATAATCATTATAATACACTTACATGCACACACTTGTGTATGCAATGTACAATGTACCGATTGTAGATTATTACGTCATACTTTTTGCTCAATGTATATAAAAAAAAGTAATCTACTAACGTGTGGAACCACATAACGCACTTTTACAATATTTAAGGCTTTTAGACAGTATTTATATCGATTGTCACTCTCTAGGTTGACTCTATGGCCGGGATGACCTCTCAGCCAAGCATGGGAGCCATCGTGGCCTGCGCCAAGGGGACCAAGCTTGACACCGGTGAGTCACATGCACACCAGCCTGACAGCAACAAGAGAGGCCCTAAACAACAGACAATTGTTTGTTTCAGAAGTATTCCAAGGTCTCATAGAGAAAAGGATTTTTATTAGATTAAATTTTGGTAGAAGACGGGATAGGAACTCCACTAAATGTTATTTCATCATTTTCAGCAGTTAATTTAGTAAAATCAATTTGGAAAGAACTTCAGGTATCCACATAAAGCTTTTATTGCAGTGTGTATTGTTAATGAAACAGAACATCTCTTAGATCACCAGTCTGGCTCAGAGATTATTTCTTAGTGTCCTCTGAGAGTGTCCTGCTTTACATGAGAGGAAGAAAATCAATCAGCAAATCAATAAACGACAGAGTGCATCACTAATTACGGCCTTAAGTCAAGTAAAGTCCAACACATTCTGCTCAGCGATAACGTACACAGCCAATTATGAGAGGAAGTGGGTGTCACAAAGTGGCTCAAGGGAGTGACAAGGAGGGGGTCCACACAAGAGTTGTACCTAAAACAATGCAATTTATTAAAACTCAAGTTAACAGCAATGCATAGATGTGTGGCACAGTGTTGACAGTGCAAACCAAAAGACGAGAAAAAAAACACATGGGTCAGTTTTTACAGCCTGGAAGGCCAAGCTGAGCTAGCTCAGCTGACAATCCTCCCATGTCAGCCGCGTTGGCCAGGAAGAGAGGGGAAAACAGGCCAGGGCGGTCGATAAAATATGATGCTGTGTTAAGCAAAACATTCCTGACTCGTGAAATGAGAAACAGTGAGATAGTGAGTGGAAGGTGAGAAACATCAGCAAATGTATTTGATGCTTATAAACCCACTTGCTTGTATATAACAATATTGGTTGTAGTCAGGAATAAGGTGGTCTTCTAGTCATCATCGTATGCCTGCATCCCGGGAAACAGCCAGTTTTCTTTAACCAATGAGCAGCTCTCCCTGGAGCATTTAGGTGGTGAAGGCCTTGACATCATTTGACATCCTTTATTTTCCCAACCTATTTTGTCAGAGATCTTTCAGTGACAAGCCTGCTCCTTTACACTCTGGACCACCTCCGTTTTATTCTATTATCTTCTCAGGAGGTCAACTCATATGTGGAGGATGGATTTATAACGTGTTTATTCCCCTGTAGGGTTGTTTTGTGTTCTGCTCAAGGTAATTTTCACAGAGCTGTGAAAAAGCTGGAGCCCCTCCCACTTACGATAACTGACTGGGCTCAGTGACCTCTGCCTCCCACAGCGACGGGTGTTGAGTGTAAAATATATTACAGCAGCCAGTTGAAAGACTGCTGTTAAAAATTAAAGCAACATGAAGCAGGCTAAAGGAATTAAAACTGATGTGAAGTTTGCTGCTTAGTTATGTAGAGAAATGCAATTGGGAAAACCGACTCTGCTCCACTAACTAGATCTGATAGCTCATTTCCATTACTCAGAACCAGTGAAAGCCCTGTTAATTTTGTTTATACTATATTCACACTACACAGCTAATGCACTGCTGTCTGCTCCTGTAGTGCAGGATACTATTAACATTTTAAGGTGTTTGTTGCCGTATAGTGGCTAAATGCAGATAATTTTTTAAATGGCACCAAGTCCCCCTTTTATTCTGCTCTGATGATGTTCTGTTATGATCCGGGCATAAGAGAAACATTATTTCCCATCCGCTCTGCTTTTGGTCTTTAGAGAAATCACTCACTAATGCCTATCAATGACTGCTTGTGTCCAATAATAAAAGTTTAGTCTAGAAAATCATTTTGCAGATTGTATTATTTAACATAGATGTTACAGTTAACACCTTAAAACATTTACACTGTAAAATATGGGCAGTGCAGAATATGCCCAGAAATTAGTGTGTGGATTTACAGATTAGGGGTCAACCACTCACGTATTTGCTATTGGATGAGGTTAAAATTCAACTCATGGGAGAGATGCGAAGAGTGTTTCTTTTCTAGGCTCATTGTTTCTGCAGCAGTGTTTAACAATCATACTGGGAGAAATCTGTCTCGGAAGAGGAAGCAAATTCTACAATGGTCCATAAAGCAACACGGCAACAGAGCCATTAAGACATGCTATGTTTTGAGTATGCTGTGTGACTTGTGCTTTGAAAGGAAAACCTCCTACTTGAGTGCTGTTCTCTCCATTCACACACAGCTGAATGCAACATCCCTCCTCTGCAGCAGGCAAATATTGTTCTGGGCTAATGTAGGAAACGTCACATATTACTACATCAAAGTATCAAATTCTGATGCTGTAATATGTCATGTTCATAGATAAACTCTGCCATCATTCAGACACAGTCCAATTTAATGACAGAATATCAATTAGTGAGCATACAGTACCCGCAAAAAAGTATGGAGAGAAAGACAAGGTCGTTACTGAGTGAGAGGTTTACAAGTGTCAGTTTATTCATGGAATTTCAATTTGCTTCACTTGAGACTGAGATTGGGATGCAGGATGTCTCCCCCACTCACTTGCACACAGACACATACGTGTGTGCATACTTATACTCTATCCTGATGTGACCCTGGTACATGCATTATGCATACACATGCAGACAAACTCCTTCTCACTTCTAAATTATTTTATACCCGTCACCTTGCGCTCGTCTGTTCTTTTCATCTCTGCCTCCCTTTATGCCTCTCCCCCTTCCACCTCCGTTTGCCTATCTCACTACTTTTGTAATCAAGCGGAGCACTGCCTTGGATACTTCCATACCTTCCTGACCTTAGTCTGTTTACTGCTTTCCTTCTCTGCCTCCCCTCTTTCTCCCATCTCTGTTACAAAGCAGTAATCAGGGCTGTGCGGTGCGCTCGGCCTCCTCTATCTCCTTCCCTCTCTCAGCTCTCATGCCTCTCCCCATCACCCCCGCTTCTTTCACATTGTCTCTCCATCCTCCTCCTCCTCTTCCCTCCCTCTCACTCAGTGACAAAGTAATTAACAGCACTTTACATGCCTATTTCACTCTCTCAAACTCCCTCTCTCGGTGCTCTTTCCCTTCCACTCCCTCAGTATCTCCCACAGTATCTCTTTGTCCTGAAGAAATGGTGAAAGCAGCACTTCTCTGGTTAATTATTTGTCTTTAAGCTGTCAGCCACAGCGTGCACGCACACATCCATGCATTTTAGAAGTCATACATATTCACAAACAGTCGTGCAGTTGAATGATGACACACATTAAAGTGCCCCTTGTGTGTAGTTGACACAGCATTTATTTAATTGATGAGAAACTTGCAGCTGCCACAAACAGGGCAGTCGTCTAAGACATAGCTGTCGTCACATACCCAAGAATGTACACACACACATATATGTACACACACATATATATATATA